AGAACTATATACTGACGCCTACATACCCTTCACCCAGCTTCACTAATTATGAATATTTTCCCAATCTAATTTCATCTATCTGGTTCCTCCACTCTTTTTCTGTTTTTATTTTTGCTGGAAATATCTTAAAGCAAATCTCAGGTTTCCCATAACTTCACCCATAAATATTTCAGTATGAGTCTTCTCTAATAAGATGAAGACTTTAAAAAATATAATGATAATTCCCTGAAACCATTACAGAGACCCAGGTCATATCTCAGCTGGCCGTGGGTACGTGCGGTCTTCATGGTCTTACATGAGATTTCTGAGGTCTTTTCAGGGCAATCAGCAAAAACATTTTACTTTGACATGATTTCAAACTTGTAAAAGGTTTGCAGGAATAGTATTAATACGAAGAATTCCCATATACTCCTCATCCATATTCCCCAAATGTTAACATTTTACCATATTGACTCTATCCTACTCTCTATATTTTTTTCTTGTATTGTTAGTATGTTGCAAACATCATGCCCTTTATCCCTAAAAATGCTCTTATATAACTACAGTGCAATGATCAAACTCAGGAAAGAGAGACATAGGAACACAGAGACAGTGCGGTTATTTAATCTACAGACACTGTTGAGATTTTTCCAACTGACCCAACAATGTCCTTTGGAACAAAAGAAAACCCTGAATCATGTCAGTTGTCATGCCTCTTTAGTCTTCTTTAGCTTGAAACAGCTCCTGAGACTGTTTATGGTGGTATCTTTGGAAAACTCTGGTCAGCTATTTTGTAAAATGTCCCTCAATTCAGGATTATCTGATATTCCTCATGATATAATTCGGGTTGTGCTTTCTTGGTAGGAAGACCACAGAAGTGATCTTTTGTCCTTCCCAGTTTGCCATATCAGGAGGCGTATTATGTCAATTTGTTCTATTATTGGTGACGTTAGCTTTCATCTTCTAGGTTTCTCCATTGTAAAGTTATTCTTTTGCCCTTTGTAATTAGTATCTTGTTGTAGAGATACTTTCAGACTATGTAAATATCTTGTTGCTTCAAACTGCCTCTTCCATAATTTTCGCATTTATTTGTGATTCTTGCCTGAATTGATACTTACGGTGGTAGTCAAGTGTGATTTTTAAGTATATTATTGCTTTTACATGTATTAGTTGGACTTCTGTAAGGAAGAATTTCCCCCTCCTGCCATTTGTTTATTTATATCAGTGTAGGCTCGTGATTCTTCATTTTAAAAATCAGTTGTAATCCTTTACTTTCATTATGTATTTTGATGCTCAAATTCTTTAAGATTTAGCCAACAGGAGCCACTCCAAACTGCCCCTGTGTCCTTCTGACATTCCCCATCACTCTTTGACCACTTCTTTACTTTCTGGGTTGAGAAAATGTTATAGTCTCATCTCCTTTTTTGCCTGCCCCAACTCTGGAATCTGCCACTTCTCCAGGGAGCCCTGATTCCTTTTAATGGAAATTGGCATTTAAAAACCAAGATGTGGACACTAGGTAAGCTCACTGCTACTGGGGTGTCACTGATTTTAGGCCCTTTCAGTGGACAGAGCTGGAACATAGATGTTACACACACACACACACACACACACACACACACACACACTCCTATTTATTTCTCTCAATCTATCTAAGACCATGATGGGTTTTGTGGTCTTATTACGTTAGATTTTCTAATCCAATACCAAGGGTTTATTGTGTTCTTTCCCTTTCCATAATTGTAACTTCACTCTCAGATAGTGAGAAACCTGGCTCCCACCGTCCACAATATATTTAGTTACATGCTCAATCCATGAACGAGTTTCAGAATTGCTAACCCACACCACTTGTGAAAAGGAAGCCTACCAACTACAGTTAAATATTTGTTTAAAGTTCTTTTTGCTTTTGGCCTGAGGACACAGTGGTCTAAATACTACGTTCGAATGTTACTGGGTTAATTTTTTTCCCTGGGTAATTATGCTATTCAAAACTGTTCTGTTGAAATGCTGTTCTGTTCATTTGTTTCTGTTCGTATCCCATCTAAGGGTTTTCCCCATCCTTGTTGATCTTAATTTATTTCAAGCACATGAAACATCAACATGATTCCCCATGCCAGAACTGTTCCAAAACTGTTCCAAAAGTTATACTCAGAGAAACATCATTTCCCCCCACTCCACAATTTTTCTAACTTTTCCACCCCAATACTGCCAATGTCCTATAAGTAATCAATCTCAGTAGTCCCTGAGTTTTTTTTTCTGGTAATTCTGGTGTTTAATTTTGCACAAATAAGCAGATAGATGCGTATTTCCTCATTTCCTTTTCTTCCTTATAGAAAAGATGGAATACTAAGCATAAAATTCTTCCTTGCACTATCAAAAAACCTTTTAAGTTACCTAAGATCTGTGTTTAGTTGTCTCTTGCATTTCTTACCACTTCCTATATATCCCTGATCCCCTGAGACTTACAGGCCTCTTGGAACCCTGAATATACCGAGGCGAAACTGTATGAAAAATGAAGACAGGTATTGATTTTAAAACATGGCCTTTGTCCTGTGACGGACAAGCACTCTCAACCAAGAATTCTAGAAGAAGCCTCAAACCCATCACAGATGGAAAATACCACGCTTGAACCCAAGATCCTTGTTTAAGGAACAGTTAGTCTCTCAGCCAGATGTCCTTTCCTGTTAACAGAGCACCCAGAAACAAAATAACCAGGGTCTGGAACAAGCAACTTGATGGATTTTTGTAAGTTTACAGATCTTAAAGAAAAGTCAAACATGCAGTCTTTCTACACAAGGCTGCCACTGTCCCTTGAACCTAACATTGCTTGGCTCGCAGACAGCCCAGTCCTCCCGGGAGAGGTCCCTGGGAGAAAGAGGGCTCCTGGGATCTACACGCATCCTGGCAGGTAACAGGATACACCTGCTCAAAGCTTCAGCCCACAGGCCGCACAGCACAGCTGTTTTTTCTCAGCCTGAATAAGCTGGATTTAGGGGGAAAAGAAGGGAGAGAGGAGAGAGGGAGGAGCAATTCCACACCTGTCCATTTACTTTTCGGGAGTTCTCCTCCCAGGGACTCATAAGCATTGGAAAGCTCCTGAGCAGAATTTATTTTGGTTCCCCTGGGGGTTAGCAGATGGTGCCTGATTGCTGGTACGGACAAACCTGTGTGAACCCAGCTAGGATGCACCCACAAGCAAAGAACCCAACAGAGGCAATTAAATAGGCCACTGAGATCTCCTACTGTACCATCCCAAGCTTCGTCTGGGTGCAGAAGACCTGGCTAATCACTTTTTGGGAAATATACATGACTCATCTCTGACAAGACCAGACCAGTTCAGTGGGGACTCTATCCTGCTCAGATTACAGAACGATTGTCTGCCCAATGATCTGGCTGTGGACAATGAGCTACAGGGAATCTGCTGTTCAGACCATCCTAGGAAGCAAGTAGAGGCTGGAAAGTACCCACACCTCCTTAGATCCCCCTGTTACCGCCATAGGATTTAGTCCTGGATAGCTCAGGAGACCTGGAATGTCCCTTGCTCTGAATTCCAGATCCACCCAGAGCATCATACAGTTTTTCAAGGATGTAGCCAAGGATACTGGTGATCGTGAATCTGTAGCTGTCCCATAAATCTGGGCATTCTGGACCTTCTCCCTGGTCCCCTAAGACTTCTATGAGTCACAACCCCATTGTAAATGAGAGAGTGTTTCTCATAGGAGCTCCAGGCCAGCAGCGTGGATGGATGCCCTGTCTCCTGTGTCAACAATGACAACCCATCAGCAGCCCTCGTCCTGGGGAGACTCCTTTTTTCTCCAACAGCTGCTCCAGAGGCTAAGGGATATGGCACAAAAGGCACTGAAATTAGAGTCAGAGCCTCTTCAACAAATCTGGCCTCTGCCACTCTGTGTGATTGGGGCCAATTCACAAAGATGACTCAGGGCCTGTGGGCTCAGCTATAAAGAGGATAGTAAGATTATCTACCTTACAAGATTTTGGCAAGCATTGAGTAAAATGGCTCTGATTAATGGGTGTTGCAAGAACTATAAAATATCCTTTAAAAATACTTGCTGCCTCCCCCATAAAGCAAATGCTCTCTTGCTGTCTATTCCAATAGCACAGACTGGGGAGGGGGGTGGGGGAAGGAGGGTAGGAGTCCCGCTAATGCTGCAAATCTATCCCCAGGTATTCATCAAGCACCCATTTTGTGTCTAGCACAGAAAACGTGTAGGACGAGGTTGCTGCCCTCCAGACTTACCATAAGTTAGGAAGAAAAAAATGCAACATGTAGGAAGAGAGAACTCAGCGTGACCCAGGATATTCAGAGAAAATTTCTATGGAGAATGGGGTGTGAATATCGGAGTTGGAAGGGAGGCCTGGCTCTGGTGAGGCCGCGAGAGAAAGGGAAAGACATTGCAGGCATTTGGTAGCATCTTTTAAGTAAATAGGATCCTATTACCTTGGCGGAATTGTTTTTTGTGTTGCATATCAGTTATTTCTCAGAGGTAGCCTCTTATTCTTGTGAGAAGCCGTTATATTTAAAGATGTTGGAGGCAGTAGGGGAGGTTGCGGGGGCTGCACCCTGCCCTGCCCAGAGGGAGCCTCGTTCTGGGCACCGGATTCAGCAGTTAAAGGGGTACAGCAGCCCTGCACCCACTTCTGGACCTTGGGGAGGTATCTGTCATGGAGACCACGAGAAAGACCAGGGTAGAGTTGGGAGGGACTCAGGTTTCATGAGCACCTACCTGGTGCCAGGGCTACACTGAGCTCCTATCATGGCCCGTGATATCGATGTGATTATTGCCATTTTACTGATGAGGAAAGCAGAGACTTAGACAGAGTAGCCCAGTAAGTAGCACAGCCAGGATGTGAACCCTTCGGAAATAAATGAAGACTGTGCTAAGGAGAACAGACACCTTGCAGGAGATTTTATTTGGGGGGGCTATGCTTTGGATTCCACAGGTGTCTCCATGGAAGCAATTCTGAAACTCTTTGGAGAATACTTCTTTAAATTCTGCAAGATGTCTGGCTATGACAGGATGCTGCGGACCCTGGGAGGAAATCTCACGGAGTTTATTGAAAACCTGGACGCCCTCCACAGTTACCTGGCACTGTCTTATCAGGTAAGGCCACCCAAGTCTGGTCTTGGCGGCCCCAGAGGAAGTACGTGCCGCAGCAGTTCTAGGGCATCTCCCTGCCTCCCCCAGCTGAGGTGCAAGGGAACTGCCTCCATCGGTTGGTGCTGCAGAATCCTTGGTACCCGTGTCAGTGGGCCCGGGGAAAGGAAGGAAAAATAAGTACACTGTTGGCCACTTTTATAAACTGGCCGACAAAAATCAAAGAAGGGCGAGTTGCAGAGGTCCGGCTTCGGCATGGGGGATGGCCTGTTCAGATAGGGGTTGGGGTGGGTTTGGAATTCAATCGAGGAGCCCGATCACAATGGGAACAAAGGCTGAAAAACAGGTGTCGGTGGGTTTGCGAAAGTTCTCCTAAGGCTTCCTGGCCTGGGTGGAAGCTGATAAATAGCTTCTGCAGCCAGAGCTGTGTTATTCATGTATCAGAAGGGAGGATTTGACAGGGCCAAGAGCCAGAATCGGAAACCATCCAACTCTGATTAACCCACGGGTGACTGACTGAGGTGTGAAGAAACTAATTTCCCTACTGGGCTATGTCCTTCTGGAGTTCTTTCCTTGGTTTCCTTGTTTGTTGAGATCATTGGCAATTTAAATGCTTAGACTCCCTTTTATTTTTTAGACAAGAAAAGGCAAACAGGCATTTACGCATATCATACTAATATTAATGCTTTGTTATATTGTATAAAATAGTTTGCAGGTATTTTTAGGGCTTTTTATAGTTTGCCAAGCTCTTCACCATTTCCATATTGGATGTTCATAACCACCCCTGCAGGGCTACCATGAGGATAGGGTAAGATTATGTGTTCAGGGGTCTCATTAATCATTACACATTCTTATACCTTATAGATGTTAAATGGGAAAAGTATTACTTTCTTCATTTTTCAGATAAGGAATCAGGCTTGGAAACCTTAATTGATTTAGAGTAGACTGAATGGTTGGGCCCGTCCTGTGGTTATCATGTGAACTACTCCAGGAGAGAGGGCAGTGGGAAGAGCCCTGGTTGTGGGGTCAGATGGGCTGACAGTGCTGTCTGGCCAGCTCTATAACTTACCAGCTGTGTGATCCTGGGCAAGTTATTTGCCATCTCTAAGTCTCAACTTTTTCACTTATTTATTTAATTAATATCTATTGAGTGCCTACTATCTACTGAGCACTTTTTGAGACATTGGACACAGAGACAAAAAGAACAGGAAAAAATAACCGATCTTATAGTGACATGTGGATTGAAAAAGATAGGATCTAAAAGTTTCTAGCATTGTAATCAGCCAAGAGAAAGCATTCCATAGATAATAATTCTCTTCCTTCCCCTCTTCTCTCTAGACAACATGGCCAGTTTTAAAATTACAATAATTTGCGTGATAACCTCCTTTCAAATTTTTTAGCTAAAGCACAATAATCAGAATATGAAGGAATACAGTTAGGCTCCTTTGGTACTCTTTCATAATATTTTTCAATATCACATCTTTCATCTGAAATTTGGCTAATATATTAAGTCACAGATCTGGAGAAGGTATTAATATTCTTCCATTCATTTATTAAATTTAAAAATTATGGAATATCTTTCATGTTACAGATATTCTCACCATATTACTGTCACCCTGATGAATAAGAATGAAAAGAATGAGGTTCTGAAGTCCCAAGTTCATTATTTTTATACCCAATCCTGCTACCCTTCCTCTGATAGTCATTTTCTTCTCCCTTCCCAATATGCCAAAACAATATTACTAGAGAAACAGTAGAATAGGGGCATGGAGCAGGAGCACGTGGATTTCCCCTTCAGCTGCTCTGTATTCAGCTACCTTATTTTCACTACGTAGGATTTGGATATAATTTTTTATCAATTTTTAATTTCCTATTTTATCAAATGCTTTTCATGTGTGCTGCCTCATATCCTCTTTAGGTTTAGTCAAGATGTAAACACACATACATGCAAACATACATACTTTGTCTATGTACATACATACTTGCAGAAATATGCAATAAGTATTTGGGAAAAAAAAAAAAGAAACCCATTTTAAGTAGCAACCTCCACCGTGGAAGGGGACAAAGATCTTGAAAGGAACCCACCTCCTTAATCTCCTCCCTCGCTCTGACCACAGCCTGCTGAGTTGCCTGCTGACCAAACAGAGGAGGAGACTGCTTCTCTTGGAGACATGCCCAGACTAAGTTTTTACCTTTCTTTCCTAACACACACCTCATGTACTGTGAAATGGTGCGTGCTTGAATGGCAATATTTATTCCTGGAGAAAGAGGATCTCTTCCAATGTATCCTTAAGGGTTCTAGTTTCCGAATGTGCAACTTGACATCACAGATGACATTATCCTTCCAGAACAAGAGATTAATTAATTAATTCCACTTGCAAATTCCTCTGAGCCTCTGATCTGTCTGAGAATGCAGATGCCCATGGTCACTTGGTCACAGGCCAAACATGGCAGAGACTCACTAAGGCTTCCTGGTTACCACCAGCCAGGCACCCCTTGGCGTGTAGGTAGAAACAGCAAGGCATTATGCAAAGGCTCATTTGGGGGTCAAATGTTGCTCTATTGTTAATCTAGCTTTAACTTCCCTGAGCCTCAGTTTCTTGCTCTTTAAAATGGAGCTAATACTTATCATAGAGTTGTTTAGGATATAAGAGGTATAGTATAAAATTCCTGCCATGTAGGAGCTGCAGTTTTTATGTGATTGGAGAGAGGTTTGGCGTATAGTTCTGTGTAACGTAATGGATAAATACTATTATTTCATAAAGCTTCAAAAGCATAACATAAATAATTTGTGCCCATTGGTGAAAAATGTGTTGTGTTTTTTAATTAGGAGATGAATGCACCATCGTTTCGAGTGGAGAGAGCTGCAGATGGGAAAATGCTTCTCCATTACTACTCAGATAGAAGTGGTCTGTGCCACATCGTGCCAGGTATGGGAATGACTTTACTAGTCCTAGAGCTATGATGCCTCTGGAGTGAGGAAGGCTTCTCTACAAATTCTCCAGCATGGCTAACAGTCAGTTGTGGGTAGGAAGTTAAAACTCTCTTTAATGTCTGACTTTATACCATCCGGATCATTACTCCCAAAGTCCTTGAGCTTTTAAACTAAGTTTCCAAAATTCCACAAGAAGGAATAATCTAGTTGTGATAAGTCTGCATATATTATTTTGCACAAACTTTTTATTTGTATTTAGCATTGTAGAAAAAGCATGCTTCCGTGTTTTTGCATTGTCTTTAAAATCACATCTTACATGGCTGAATGATATTTCATATTGTAATTATCTTAACTAATCCCCTATTGTTAAACTTTTAGTTGATGCTAATCTTTTGCTATCATAAACAATGCTGCGATGAACATCTTCATGCATTTTTCCCAATATTTTCTGTTATAACCCTGGGATGGATTCCCAGACGAACATTTTTAAAAATGCAATCCTTAATGCTTTATAACTGAATTTTGCTTACATGATCTCCAAGGTTTGTTTATTTGTTTAATGAGTTAAATGACTTCCTGAAACAAAAAAAATGAATAGATGCTGAACTAATAATTAGAGTGGAAGGGATATATTTGGTGCCCAGACGTGTAACTTCAATCTCTGCATATTTTTATTTCATTAGCTATCCTATGCTGCCTGTTTTGAGGAAGGGCCTGGGCTTGGTGAACTCTGGAATATTCACCAGAAGTTGTGTAATTTGATTGTTTTATGATTTTTGTTGACACAACTGCCTTCTGCCATCCCTCACTGATATAGGTGTCCTTCTGCCGCAGGTATCATTGAGGCTGTCGGCAAGGACTTTTTTAACCTGGATGTGACCATGGATATCCTTGACATGAATAAGGAAGTGGAGAGGACAGGGAAGAAGGAACACGTTGTGTTTCTGATTGTGCAGAAGGCTCGCAGGAAGATGAGAAAGGCAAAGCCATCCAGGTTACAAGACAGTCAGGACAACCAGAGTGACCAAGAGGTACTGGATTTGCTATGTCTTCAGAAAGCACAGTTCCCCCTAAGTAGAGCTACCAGTCTTAGAGCAATCTATGCAAACAACAGAATCAACTGGATCTTCTAATAGTGAGGTTAAGGCAGAGTTTCTCAATTTCAGCACTATTGACCTTTTGAACCAGATAATTCGTTGTTGTGATGGACTGTCCTTTGTACTATAGGATGTTTAGCAGCAACCCTGGTCTCTACCCACTGGGTGTTGATAGAACCCTGCCCCTCAGTTGTGACAATCAAAAATGTCTCCCGGCTTTGCAATGTGTCCCCAGGGTGGAGATGGGACTGAAATTACTCCCTGTTGAGAACCGCTGGGTTAAGGTTAATTGGATATACACTAGGAGGCTTTCTGGGGTATACCTGAGCCTAGAAATTTTTTTCACCTATAAAAATATTGGTAAGAAGGGTTTAAAACTTAGTGGCTTATTTTTCAATTCCCCTAAAATCAATTGATCTCTCAAGTCCTCAATGCCCACTTCTGCAACTCTAACCAGTCATGGGTCCAGAGTCAACTTAAGACCCTGACCTTGGCCATATCCATTGCAACTTGGAGGGTGAGCATTACCTATTTAGGTCCCACATCTGTTAGGTGAACATGTAGCTGGTACAGATACCCAGGTAAGTCTGCGATTCCTTAGCATATCCAAAGCCCATCTCTGAGTCTGTTCACTGCAGAATCTTCAACCAGTGATTTTTCTGCCTGATATCATCCTGGTCGCCTATTGAGATTTATAAAAAGCTATTACTGGCTGGGTGCAGTGGCTCTTTCCTATAATCGCAGCACTTTGGGAAGCCAAAGGAGGCAGAATCGTTTGAGGTCAGGAGTTCAAGACCAGCCTTGGCAAAATACCCAAGTCTCTACCCACCTCCCCCAAAAAAGTTAATGCTGCTTTTGATAGAGAAACAGCATGAGGATTAATTAGAGAAGAAAATCTTAGGAGTTTCAATATCTTGGTAGAATTGATCTCATAAGTCCTCACGCTGTTCCCCTGGCCACGGACACGCTTTCTCATTTAAAGGTGGACCCGAGCACAGCAAACGGGGTTTGTGCATCTCCAGTCATATGACAAGATGCTTCTCTCTCTGCCATCTTCAGGCCCTCAAGGCAGCTTTCCTCAGGATGAAGGAGAAATATTTGAGTGTCTCTGCTTGTCCTGTGAAGAAATCCCACTGGGATGTTGTGAGAAGCATAGTCATGTTTGGAAAAGGTAAGTGGGCTGTTCTCCCAAGCTCTTAGATCAGAATATCACTTGGTTTTCAGGAGTAGCCGCCAGTGTACACAGACAGGGCCAAGCCCTCTGTGATCGTGAAGTCGCTGATTCCTGCAGAGTCATGGTTTTTAACTTTGAAATGTCGGACTCTAGCTTGTCTTTCATTACTCCTTTTATCTGTGCGGGTTGACATGGAGACATTGTCTGTCTCCCTGTCCTCAGGGAGAACTGTTGGAGAGAAGGTTGGGATCAGTCCCAACTGGAAACTGTTGGAGGAGGAGGATGAGTACTGATGTATTTTCAGTAACAAGCTTCTCTGCTGAATTCAGGCCTCTCCATTAGGTCATATTTCTGGACTGGAGATCCATGGGTGATAATCACTATTGTCCAGTCATGCAAAGGACACCAGATCGAAAGCCAAGAAAGCAAATTTCTGGCTCTGTCCCTGAGGAGCTGTGTGACCTTGGACAAGATCCTCCGTCTTCCCAGTCTCCAAATGAAGGCATCAGCCTTGCTAAGGTGCCTCTGTGGGCATCGAACTAGTCTAATGATTAGCACCTAACGCCCAAGTCAGAATAAGGGCTCTGACCAGCTGGGAGAAGGGAGCTAGAGTGCTCCTTGTCATGGCCCGATGGGCCAGGTGACATGCATCTGGGAGAACGTCTGCCGGGCTCAAAGGGCTGCATTTTGTGTCCTTCAAGCCATGGCAAGTGAGTCAAATACACAATTGACATCCTTTGTCTAGGAGATTTTCATATCAAAAAGGCTCCATTTCGAATCTCTACCCCCTGCCAAATAGGACTGTTGGTTAAATTTTCATGTGCCACCCCAAACTGTCAGTCTAAAAAGCTCCATGGCAAATGTCCCTGACGCTGGGCCCGGCGCACACGCTCTGCTCTGCTAGCTCATTGTCTGGCTGTCACCGTTTCAATGCCGACTCTGTGTTCATGGCGAGACATACTCAATTGGCCCAGAAACTCTTCAGCGGCGGGCAGAAACTTGGCAGGGGGCAGGAGGGCTTCTCAACCTGGTAGCAAGTTTTCTGTTTGTTTTAATTTGGAAGAAGAATTGCCGTGGCCATCTGGAGACGCTGAGCGAGCCCGTGCAAAAAAGCAGGGACTGCACTCTGCCTGCGAAACACTTGAGATACTGTCCCTATCCCCAGCTCTGTCCTGTGCGAGGGCGGTGGCACGAGCTGCCTCTCACCGGGACTTTCTGTTTCTGTGTCCAGGGCATCTCGTGAACACCTTCGAGCCGATTTATCCCGAGAGGCTGTGGATCGAAGAGAAGACATTCTGCAATGCTTTTCCTTTCCACATTGTGTTTGATGAATCAGTGAGAGACCCTTCCCTCTGTAGCTTGGAGTTGGGGATACGCCAGGGAAGGGAACACGATTTATAGTCTTTTATGGCTAGTGGGGATTTTTAAGCCCCTGAGAAGTTCCCAGGGCTTGGGAGACTAGGCTTTTAGCCTTGTGGGACTGTTGACTTCCTTGTCACACTGTGATCTTCTCCAGAAACCAGAATGCAGGAGCTTCCTGATAAGAATGAAAGGGAGGTTAGGACTAGTGAATGAATGGGAAAGTTTGCCATTAGAAAAGAGGGAAAAAGGAAGTGAGGATAAAATTCATTATGTAAAGAGACAACAGAACGTAGTAGCAATGACTGGGTGGAATTCTAACCGTGACCTCTTGCTGTCCTCGTGGCCACCATACATGTCTCGATCCCACCAAGCTTCCCTCTCGGCCTCTTGAACGTGGGGCAGAGGTCCCTGCCAGCTCATGCCACTGTGCTGAGAGAGTTGTGAGCACGCCCATTTAGGTTTTATTGTTACTGATTTCTTGCATAAAATGTCTGTCAATTGAATTGATCATGAACTCATATAAAGGACAGTTAGGCAAAACGAATTTCATCAAAAATCAGTTAAAATGCTTTCAGCCTTTGTGACTTTTTCTGATATTTATTTAAACTCATACACACATTAAGTCATCACCTACCAGTCGACTGCTGGTACAAATTCTATGAAATTTATTCATTGGAAGGTAGTCTCAAAGAACTTATGATCTAACTGAGGTAAACTAACTCCTTTGTGTGAAATAACTATGGAACTATAAAGCAATGTATTATATTTTGACTTTTCCCCACTGCCACAGGGATATTATTATTATTGCCACTATTTAATATTTTAAATTCTGGGTGACTTAAAAGACTCCTTTAAAAAAAAAAAGTTTTGGGCATAGAATAACAAAATTTAACGATACGTATTCCAAAAGGTTAGGTTGATTTCTGTAGCCTAACAGAGTTCCCATGGCCAATGAAGTTAAGTCTTCCTGGGCAGTCTGTGCTGGTGTTGACCACTTTATGTAAAAGATACTCGTTTCACTTCTTCCTTCCCTGCATTCGCTGGAGGTAGCAGTGAAAGGTGTCTCCCCACCCCCTTGGTGGGCTCCTTCACCTAGGCCTGAGTGTCAGATCCATTGCTACAGAATTTGCTAGTTTTTTTTTAATTAATTAATGACAGAAAGAGGGTGGGGAGAGGGACGTCTGACAGACCTGGGAAAGAACTATTAGTGCAATTGAGATCTGTAACCTCTGTTTCTCTTTAGTCAGAAATATGCTTCTGAGCACTCCTATTCTTTTCTCTTTCAGACATTAGTGCAAATTTGGTTGTTTAAAAAAGTATTTATTACTTCCGTGATATTTATTCTACCACCAATCCCTGTTTCCTGCAGTGAGTCACAAAGCATGGCCAGCGTGTTATTTATAAGGGAACGTTTAGGGTGGAAGTGGCTTTCTGTTCCCCAGTCTTACCTCTGTCCTCTGTGGATAGCTGCGGATCAAGCAAGCTGGAGTGACTATTCAGAAGTACGTCCCAGGACTCCAAACCCAGAAGATTCGATTAGACGAGTATTTCTCCATCATTCATCCTCAAGTTACCTTCGACATTTTCAGCATCTGCAAATTTATCAACAGTCAATTTGTCCTGAAGACACGAAGAGAAATGCTGCCCGAAGCCTGGAAAAGTCAGCCCACACTCAAGCTCCGAGGTAATAACTCACTTCTTTCCCATTGCTCCCTGCCTGTGTGGGTTGATCACAAAGACAAAGAAGCAAGAGTTTTCCAATTTCTTTAAAAGTGGGACAGGAACTACACTGAAAATAAGTTGTTATTTCCAACATACTTAGCCTGATCTGTAAATGATGTATTTTATTTCCTCAACCATCTCTGGTTTAAACATAAATGAACTACATATATATATATATATATATATAAAATAGTTATATATAATTATAAAATCCTCTAATTTATAATTTATGTAATTCTAAAATTCTAGTCTTTGATTCATTTTGAGTTAAGTTTTATGCATGGTATGAAGGGGCACACATTTTGAGCTGTCTTTCTACTAGACTGATGATTAGGTGTTTTAGGCATGAACAGAGGCAGAGTTGGAGGGACATCTGAGACGAACATGACGTATTTGAACCTGAGTGAGTTGTAGAGTGCAGCGATAAGAGATAGGGTGGCAAGATGAGGACTTGAACTCTATCGCGCAGTTGGAAACATCGTTAAGTGTCTGCCATGACCAGATTTGAGGATTAGAATGATCCCTCTGGAGGCACATGAAGGATGGATCAGAGCGTAGAGCAAACGGATCCAGGGGGCCAGGTGGAAGCTGCCGCTGGGGTACAGGTGAGAAGATTTAAGGTGCTGAAGGAACTCAGGCGGCGGCCCTGGAGTGGCAATCAGGGGAAAGACTGATGAGGTAATTAAGGCAGGACTTGGTGACTGGATGAGGGGGCTGAAAGAGAACGGTTAGAGTAACTATTAGCTTCCTTGCTTGGCTAACTGGGCGATGAGGTGTGATTAACTGACAGAAGACTTGACAGACCTCCTTGAGGGCAGGGATTTGGTCAGTTTGAGTCACCGCTGTATCCTCAATGCCGAGAACAGTGTGCCTGGCTAACAGTAGGGATTAGATACATATGCGACGAAAGATTAAAGAAAGAGGAGATTTGCAGAGGGGATTGAAGATGAGTTTAGTGCAGACATCCACGAATAAACACTTAATAGGGAGTAAAGAAAAAAAACCCCACTGTTCATGGAAGTATAAATGATCACAACCACCCTAGAGGGCAATTTGGCAATGTGTATCCAAAGCTTCAAAAGTAAGCATCTTCTTTGTCTAAGTAATTCCATGTCTAAGAATAGCTATGATTATACACACTTACCTCAAGCTTGTTCACCGCCATGTTGTGTATGGAATAAAAAACTAGACAGAATATAATCAATGCTAGTTTATTATTTAAATAAAATACAGTATAATCAATGCAGCCAGCAAAAATTAAGATGCATATCTATATTTAAGGATATTAAAGAATATTTGTTCTGTATTTTTAAGTGAAAAATTCAGATTACAAAAAGAAGATGCCGGATAATCGCACTGTTTTGGTAATACAAAGATATACTCCAGACTATTAATAGCAATTATCTGTGTCATGCGATTATGGCTGATTTTTACTATTTTCTTTCACTTTTTCCATTTTCTACAACAAATGTGTTGCATATGTTGAATGTGATCTGCTTTTATAAGCAGATAACAAACATATCTATTTTTAAAGAAATACATATCTCAAGTCTAGGAAGCCATGTTTCTCTGGAAATTCAGATTTATTGTCAGTAAGGTCTAGAATGCAGTTGTGTAATGCTAAAAGAGAAGAACCCTAGGAAACACCAACATTTAAGGAATGGTATTTTTAAAAATGTAAAGAAAAAATTCAAAGAAGTAGGGGAAATCTCAGACAGAAAACAGTGTCAGAGAAGTCCTAGGAAGTAAGATTTGAAGAAGAGGGGGGGTCTGATTGATACCATCAAATGGCAAAAGAGTTGAATAAAGAAAAGACTGGGAAATTTGTGCTGGAGTCAGCAGTGTGGACGCCAAGGATGGAAGACCACCTCAGAGTTTGCAAACAGCCGCAAAGAGAGCTGTTAGGGAGAGGCGGGGAGATGAGAAAGTGGAGACAGACAGTGTACATAACCCTCACGAAATCTGGCTAAAAGGGAAAGAGTGTGAGTGTGTGGTGGCTAGAAGGTGCACTGTGTGGGCAACGACTGGTTATCTGGCGAGCTCGTCCCAGCCCCTGTCGGCGACATACTCTGTTATTGCGTTTCTCTCCACGGCGGGAAGGCCAGATGATCTGGATGGAGTCCACACGGTGCATGATGTACCTGTGCTCCCCGAAGCTCCGCAGCCTGCAAGAGCTGGAGGAGCACAAGATGTATCTTTCCGACATCGCCCCCCACGACACGACCAGGGACCTCATCCTCCTGAACCAGCAGCGGCTGGCTGAGATAGAGCTGTCCAACCAGCTGGAGAGGAAGAAGGAGGAGCTGCGCGTCCTCTCCCAGCACCTGGCCATCGAAAAGAAGAAAACAGAGACCCTGCTGTATGCCATGCTGCCTGAGCACGTGGCCAACCAGCTGAAGGAGGGCAAGAAGGTGGCGGCAGGTGAGGCACCCTTCCCTACACAGCCACCTCCGGGCAGGGGCAGTGTGCCTTAGCCAGGGGCACAGGCTCTAACACCAGACAGAGGTGGGTTTGAATTTTGGCTCTGTCACTTGTAAGGGACATGATCTTGGGCTAATCACTTCATCTGCATATCTTCAGCTTTCTTCTCTCTGCATCGACAGCGATGATGCAGGAGTGATGCATGGACTAGATGGTTGGAAAAGTGGCTGCCACCCACATGCGTGAGGTTCTCTAAGAGTTTAAGGCTGTGTCCTGAGACTGGCCTCATTACTCAGTGGCCGTGAGTGGGGTTCTTAGCCCTAACTAGGAATAACACACTCACACGTTAGCGAAAGCACTGGGTGCCTCTGCGGACTGTTCTGGAGAGCAGGCTACTTATGGAGGGAGGGACGCTGTGATCACTCTGCGCTCACTTTCCGCTGTCACGGGCATGTGTTCATTCACCAGCATACCCGGCGGACCTACTCCATGCCTGGGTGCGGTGCTACCTCCAGGGGACCCACAGGAGTTCACAGCCTGGCGGGTTTGACAGATATATGCAGATATATGCTGAATAAATTAAAAAGGGTAGGCGTGACTAAAGGAAAAGAAACTAGTGTGCATTAAGGAGCATCTATGGTGCCAGTATCTAGTAGCCATTTCACATGTGCTATTTCATTGACTTTCCTCAGTGTTTCTTTGAGAGAAGTGTTAGCCATACTATACAGCTGAACAAACCGACAGTCACCCCACCTTATGAGTAAAGGAGCTGGAAAACAATCGTGTTAAGTCCATCTGACTCCAAAATCCACGCTCTTTCCACCACATAAGGTGCTATGGAAACAAAAATGACGGGGAAATCAATGATAAATAGATGTCAGAAGAGAAGGAGGGGCAGGGTGGCGTTGTGAGGGCACCTCTCAGAAATGTGTGCCACTTGAGTTGGGGCTTGAGGCTGGATTTCAGCAAGCAAGGAAGGGCAAGGCTTGTCAGGGGAGTGGGCTAGCAAGCGCAAAGGCAAGGCAACGTGAAAATAAATATTAATACCACGGTGCACTGTCCCTAGAACCTGGGGTGCTTGCAAAAGTGGTGCCTGCTGAGGCCGGGAACGTAGGGTGGGGCTCAGGCGGTGCAGTGATGAATCTGATTGTCATGGAAAAGGAATTTGCCTTTTATTTTATAAGCAGGGAAGATTCATTGAAGTTTTTTTCTCATTATGGAAGCGACATGACTAGACTGATAAACACGATTTTGGCTGCAGTGTGGTGAATGCGTTAGAGGGAGGCTGAAAGCCTGCGGGAGCTAAGGCAGCCTGGGGCGTGGGGGGAGCAGGATTTCCTCACTGACCCGAGGGGGAAGGTAAGAGAGAGGAGGCAGGGATGAGTCTGCGGCTGCTAGCATAGAAAATGTGGTGCTTTCTCTTAGCACAGAACCAGAAGTAAGAGCAGGGTTCAGGGAGGATGAGAAAGTCAGTTTTAGAACCATGAAGCTTGAAGTGTCTATGAGATCCTGCACAGAACATGACCAGAGGTCATTAGGAATCGTGGGGAGAGCTCAAGGGAACATTCTGGCATGGAGTCCTAGACGTGGGAACAGTGTGGGTGGGGTCGATCACAGGCTCTGTGAATGATGAGTAAGGTCATCTGGAGGGCATGGGGTGAGAAGAGAACATGGTGGGGTGTTGCACCGTAGGCAACATCAAATATTTAAGAAGGGTGAGAGGCCTGTGAAAGATATAAAATAAGGAGATCAGAAAGGTAGAAGGAATATGAAGAGAAAATGGTAGGCTAGAAGCCAAAAGGAAGAGAAAGTTCCATGAAGGGGAAGTTACCACCAGAGGTTTAAGTAATATCAAAGGCCCCCAGCTGTGTTCAAGGAGTCACCAATTCACTCACTCAACAAATATTTATTGAGCATCTACTATGTGCCAGGCCCTGCTTGGATAGAGCTGGGGATACAGCAGAGGTCAAAACAGACAGTCTCCCATTTCAGGGAGCTTTGTATTCCAGTGGAGGAGTTAGACAATAACCAAAAACACGATTCTGTACAAAGTGTCATACCACGTAAGTCTCATGGATGGGGGGGCAGGTGATCAGGCTCAGACGGTAGAGAGTACCTAAATTGTGGTTTCAGGCACGGTGTTCAGGAAAGTTCTCACTACGTTGGTAACATCTGAGATGTGAGGTACAGGACCCTGTAGGTACCCGAGAAAAGAGTGTGTCAAGCAGAGGAAGCTGCAGGTGGCAAGGCCCTATGGCACGGGACACTGCATGTGCTGGAGAAACCCCAGAAATGCTGGTGTGGCTGGAATGGAGCGAGCAGGAGGGACATGAGGTCAGAGGGATGGCAGGGACAGAGCTGGGGGTTCCCTTTGTAGACATGGTAAAGATTTGGGGTTTCTTTCTAAGTGTGATGGAAGTCACGAAGATTGAGGCTCAGGAGTGGGGGGTCTGACCTAACCAGAACACCTGGCTGTGTGGGGGAGAGACAGAAGCAGCAGCATGTGGTAGGGGCGCATGGTGACGATGGGTGGCTTCTGCCATACAAAGACGGGGAAACCCACCGCTTCACAGCGACTAGTCTCTGTCGGTCCTTCCCTGAGTCTCCTGTCGCTCAGGCTCTGCCCTGGCCCACTTCCTAGAGGCCATTTCTGTCCTCCCACAGCACTTGTCCCATCGCATTGGAAGTCTTTGTGCATTCTTATGTCCCCTTCACCAGACTGGGGGCTCCTTAAGGGGCGGGTGCTGTCTGCTTGCTTCCTGTGATGCAATTCTCCTAGCGTGAGGACGAGCTCGTAGCAGGCACCCAATAACTGTGCTCCCTGGAGGCCCTCCGTAAATGTCTGCTGGGTGACTGCCTAATGGCAGATGGCAGGCAGACCCTTTTCCCCAAGGCACAGGCAGGTTTGATTCTCACAGGGCCTTTGAATCCAGAATTCATAGAGTTATGGAATTCTATATCCTCAGCTATCACTGATACCTGGTTTCTGTTGCAGGAGAATTTAAAACCTGCACAATCCTTTTCAGCGACGTGGTAACGTTTACTAACATCTGTGCTGCCTGCGAACCTATCCAAATAGTGAATATGCTGAATTCAATGTACTCCAAGTTTGACAGATTAACCAGTGTCCACGAGGTCTACAAAGTACGTGTCCACGCCGCATGGGGTATTTCGGCATATGCTCATTCAGGGCAGGTGCTTCCTTCTGAGTCTTCCTTTGCCTCTGTCTGCACGAGTCAGGGGTCCAGTGTGAATGAGAGTGGGGTGAAGATGAAGAGCTAAAAGGAAATTGGAAGCTTTTAAGGAATTTTAGTTTCGTAGGTATCTTTTTACCATACTCAGTGCTAAGATGGTGCCCCAGTGCCCTTGAAGGGCAAGCACTGTTTTCCTAGAGAATAGTTCTACTCCTAAATTCAGCAGAAAGTCTACTCCAAATAACGTATAATCTATTAATAATACATAGCATCATACAACTACCCCAGGGCCTTCAGCCCTCTGGGATTTGTTTCCACTAAAAGCAGAAGGACTTTTGTCTCTCTCCCGGCTGTGTCTTGTGTTAATATCCCTCTTACCTCCTCCTGCACGCTCCTCACCCCCTAGCAAGGAGCCACCAGCTTTAATACAGTCCTTTGTCAAAATGTGGAAAATGGCAAAAATACTTAAGGCATATCTAGTGCATAAGGAAACCCTATACCTATTTTCTCTCCTGACAGGTGGAAACAATAGGAGATGCTTACATGGTCGTAGGGGGTGTACCAGTGCCCATTGGAAGCCACGCTCAAAGGGTGGCTAATTTTGCCTTGGGGATGAGGATTTCTGCAAAAGAAGTGATGAATCCTGTTACTGGAGAACCCATCCAGGTAGAGAGCAACGGAGTACTTTGCTTAACACCAAACATCTCACACACAAAAGTAGAATTCTACTTATCTGCTTAGGTGGTTCCTGGGTATGCTACGGTAATTAAAATAGGCATATTTCTTCCAACTCTTTTCTTCTCTTGCATGTGGTCCCAATAAAGGTATTAGAAGGCTATTATAGTCTCGACTTCTCTCCAGTTTCAGAAGAGGCTGTGGTGCTCAGGACTTCCCCGTGATTGACCACAAGTTCCTTTGTCCCTAATTTAGGACAGTCCTGGCCATGTCTCCCTATTTACCTAGCAAGGCACAATCCATCTTGGAAGGCAGCTCGTTTATAATTCCTACTCTTTTGTTAAGGCATTTGAACAAGTCATTTATGTTTAGTGGACCTCCAACTTTTCCTGCTTAGAGAACTTCTGCCTCCAACATGCCATCTGACAGGTTTGGAACTCAGGCGGAGGTGTGACGCTGCCTGTGGTCAGCCACCAGGCGCCACGGTGCCGTAAGATATTCAGAGTGGCTTTCCTGTCACCACGCAGCCACAAGCGAGACATCTGCTCGCCTTTCTCACAAGACGCTACTCTTCCAAGTAGGGAAGTTGGTTCACACTATAAAAGTTGGACAGTTTGGGAGATGAAAAGTAAATGCCATCTTCTGCCAGCCCAGCAGACCCTAACCCCCCTGAGATGGCTGAGAGAGGCATCTCTCTGCCTTCATATCTAGATCCCTTTCTTGCTCATGTCCATCAGAAATTCAAAATAAACTAAATAACTGACTAAAATAAATAAAACCAACGATAAGATGGAATATGATTTTTCCAAATTATAATGTTTTTGCAGGAGATTCTGAAAATGTGCTCTATTCATGCTCACTGTAGTGATTTGGAAGCTGAGCTTCACAGATCCTGGTTCAGCATCCACTGCCGTCTTCTAAGCAGAAGCTAGACTATAGTCACAGGAACAAAACAGCCACAGTACACACTCATTGTAAACACACCGTCTGCATCAGTGGAATAAAACCCCAATATAACAAATAAAAAATGAGGATGGGAAGTAATGAAGGAATAGATATAAGAAGATCAGATAAGAACAGTGTAGAGTGTCCAGATACAGACTATACATTTAAGGCCAATTGATTTTTGATCAAGGCATCAAAAATTGAGAGGGTAAGGCAGCCTCTTTTTAAGAAATAGTTCTGTTACAATTGAATATGGAAAGAAAAAATGTACCTCAACCCTACCTCACCCCATATGCAAAAATTGATTTGATATATATCATGAACCCAAACGTAAAAGCTAGAATCATTAAGCTTCTTGATGGAACTGTGGGACAATAGCTTCATGACTTTGGGGGTAAACAATGATTTTCTAGATAGGACACAAGAAGCACTAACCAAGAAAGGAAAAAAAATGATAAACTTCATCGCTATGAGCTGAATTATGTCCCACCAAAATTCATATGTTGAAACTCTAGCCCTCAGTACCTCCGAGTGTGACAATATTTGGAGATGGGGCCAGGAGCAGTGGCTCGCGCCTATAATCCTAGCACTCTGGGACACCAAGGCGGGAGGATTGCTCAAGCTCAGGAGTTCAAGGCCAACCTGAGCATGAGTGAGATCCCATCTCTACTAAAAATAGAAAAATTAGCCGGGTGTCATGGTTTGCACCTGTAGTCCCAGCTACTTGGGAGGCTGAGGTGGGAGGATCGCTTGAGCCCAGCAGTTTGAAGTTACTGTGAGCGAGGCTGATGCCACGGCACTCTAGCCTGGGTAACAGAGTGAGACTCTGTCTCAAAAAAAAAAAAATAAAAAAATAAAAAAGTATTTGGAGATAGGGCGTTTACAGAATAAGATGAGGCCTTAAGGGTGAGCGCTGATCCAGTCTGACTGATGTCCTTATAAGAAGAGGACATTTGGACACACAGGGACACCAGGAATGCATGTGCACAGAGGAAAGGCTGTGTGAGGACACAGCAAGGAGGTGGCCATCTGCAAGCCAGGGAGGGAGGCCTCAGGAGAAACCCAATCTGCCGACATCTTTATCTGGAATTTCCAACCTCCACCACTGTGAGAAAATAAATCTCTATTGTTTAAAACATTAACTGCCTTGCGAATTGTATTTAATTGTAATTGTATTTAACTAGTTTTGAGCCCAGGGCCTCGTGAAGCAAAATCTAAAGTGGAACCCTGCAGTTGGTTTGTGAAAATCTTACTTGTCGATGTTCTTATTTTTACAATTAATGTTGACAAATTCATTCTAAAAACATGGATTAAATGAATAGAAGTCAATAAATTTCATTTTTCACTAAGTTTTTCATTACATTAGAAAAGATAATTTTGTTTTCAAAGCTTTTATTCTATTTTCATAATAAATCACTGTGGCCCCAAAGGAAAACAAATTTTTTTCTAGCGTGGCAGTCAACGTGTTAAGCTCCCCAGTCTAAAGTATTTTGTTATGGCAGCCCTAGCAAACTAATATATTCATAAAAATTTAAAATTTCTGCTTATTAAAGGAAACGAATACACAAACCCACAGACCGAGAAAAATATTTGTAACACACACATATATATTACGTATCAAAATACGTCTAGAACTGATGCACATTAACAACAAAAAATAAACAACCCAATTTTTGAAACAGGCAAAAAATTTGAACAGACTTTTCACAAAAGAAAATGTATGAATGGACAACGTGTGCATGCAAATGTGTTTAACATCATTAGTCACCAAGTTAATGCAAATTAAAACCACAAGGAAGTATCGTTTCACACCCACTAGAAGACCAAATGGTGGCAGGAATGTCGAGCAACTGGAAGTGTCACGTTGCTGATAGGAATGTAAAATGGTAAAACAGCTTTGCAGAAGTGTCAGGCAGTTTTTTTTGTTTTTTTATAAAATTAAGTATGCATCTACCTTGTGATCCAGAAATTCCACTTCTAGGTATTTATCTAAGAGAAATGAAAACATATGTCCACAGAAATACCTATACAGAAATGTTCAGAGCAGCCTTAATTATAACAGCTTCAAATTGAAAATCATCTAAATGCACATGAAAAGAAAATGGATAAAAATATTGTGGTATATTCTTACAATCAAATACTATTAAGCAACAAAAATAATGAGATACTAATCCATACAACCATATAGATGAATCTCAAAAACATGTTGAATAAATGAAGCCAGATATAAAACAGCATATACTATATTATTTCATTTATGTGAAATTCTAGAACAGGCAAATTATCCTTTGGTAAAAGAAATAAGAAAGTGGTTATCTCTGTTGGAGGAGGTGGGCAGAGAGCTTAACTGGAAAGGACACAAGATAATTTTTGCAAGGTGATGGAACTATTCTATGTTTTATTTTGGATAAAAGTATGGAGATATATGCACTTGTCAAAATTCACGGAGCTAAATACTTTAATATCTGTATTTTTTATTTTATGTAAGTTATACCTCAATGTAAAAGTAAAAGCAGGAATATTAGATGATGTCTGTTGAGCGAGGTTCTCTCTGCACAGATCAGAGTGGGGATACACACCGGACCCGTCTTAGCAGGGGTCGTGGGAGACAAGATGCCACGGTACTGCTTGTTCGGTGACACTGTGAACACAGCCTCTAGGATGGAAAGTCATGGGCTTCCCGACAAAGTGCACCTCAGCCCCACAGCCTACAGGTAACCTTTCATTTTATTCATGCCTGCCTTTGTCCTTCCCTCCTTCCAGAACTTACAGAGTGCCTAGCAGCCACAGGATGAGGGTAGTGCAGACAACAGCCAGTTATAACCCACAGGCCAAACCCAGTCTGCTGCTTCTTTTTGTAAATAAAGTTTTATTGGAACATGGCCATACTCGTTTATTTGCATATTGTCTAGGGCTGATGTTGGGCTACAGAGGCAGAGTCAAGTGACTGGGACACAGATCGTATGGCCCACAAAGTCTAAAATATTTCCCACATGGGCTCTCATAGAAACAGTTTGCTGACCTTGGGTTCAGCAGCAGAAGAAAAGACAGTCACAGTTAATTATTTTTAAAGTGGGATGAGTACGATGGTAAAGAGATGCATAAAATAATACTTACAGTTTCTCGAGCACTTACAATAGGCCATATTCTGCTCCAAATTCTTTTACATCTGTTAATTAATTTATTGTTAGAACAACTCTGTGAAGATATTTTTATTTTTATTTACAGATTAAAAAAAGGCACAAAATGTTAATACCTTGTCTCAGGTCCAAGTAGACTAGAAACAGAAGACCTAGATGCAGGCTGGGGGCAGGTCGCAGAGTCCTGCTCTGTAACTACTGTGCTGTCATGTCTAAGGGGACCACAGGGTGTGCTATGGGACCAGGGCATGGGGCCCTGACCCAGTGAAGAAAGGCTTTGTGGAGGGGACTCCTGAGCTGCCTCTTGAACAAAGAGTTCCAGCGTAGGATTTAGCCAACATCGGGGTCTTGGGAGTAAACACCAAGCAGCACAGGCTCACATGTAGAGTAGGTGCAGAGAACCACAAACAGTTTGGCTTTCCTGGATGGGAAAATTCGAGGCAGAAAGTGGTGAGAGTTATATGTGCACCTCCTGAAGGACGAGCACTCTGCCCTGTAGGTGAGGAAAAGCCCCCCAGAGTGTGAGGTTGGAGACAATGGCATGGTCAGGGTCCTGCTTGGTGTCACTGAGCACCCTAGAGACCTGTAGGGCAGATTTGAGAAGAAGGAAATGGGAAAGGGAGACCTGTTGGGAGTGTGATCTGGACCAGAGTGTTGGCGGCAGCAACGCAGGGGCAGTGAAGCCAGTGAAGGTGATTCCTAGAAATGGCGGATAAGGAAGAGGGAGGAGCCCAGGTCTGCATTCCAGGTGACAAGGGTTTGAATGATGGTGTCACCACTGAGATAGGACAAATAAGAGGGATCCTGATTCTCAGGGCAGATGCTGAGGTCAGGTTGGACATGCTGGGGTCAAAGGAACCATGGGGCATCCAGGCAGAGGCGCCACAAGGTGGATGGGTGAAGTCTGGAGTCGAGCTGGTGGCCAGAGATGCAGACTTGGAGTAGGCGGTAATTAAAGCCATGAGAGCTGATGGGACCCCCTCGGGAAGGTGCAAGGTAAGAACAGTGGGGAGAGAAACGAGTCCTGGGCAGAGAATCACTGAAGAGGCAGGAAAGGAAGAGGAGCCCGTGGAAGAGGCAGAAGAAGAAAGAGTCAGAAAAGGACCAGCAGAGTTCAGGGTGAGAAGCTCTCTCGTGGATGATTTTAAGGAGGAAGAATTGAACAAAAATGTCAAATATAGAAACAAGAAATGAAAATATTCATTAGAGGCTTTGGGGACGTTATCAAAAGTGTTGTGTGGAATGGTGGGGATAGGTGCTGGGTTGAAGGATAAAAGGAAGAGAGAATTTGTGTGGATCAAAGCAGGTGAGAAGTGGTTTCTTTGCCTCTGTGTAGGAGGGATGAGCCCCAAGCATGATGCCAGGATGCAAGCGGAGGGGGAGCCAAAGACAAGGGCAGGGGGGCTGATGGGCCCAGGCCCAAAGGAGGTGGGAAGGGGGCTCGGATGCGGTGCCCATGAACAAGCCGGACCTCTGAGACGGGGTTGGGGGACAGGGTGTTGTGGCCATGGGGTGAGAAGTCGCAGGCTCTCACCTATGATGACTGCAATTGGGAGATGAGTCAGGTCACAAAGTAGGAGGCACGGTTAGCAGCTTGCGAGTGAGGGGGCAGGTGCCACATGGGGGAAACGAGGGGTGTGGTGAAGGTCTACACTCTCAACGCAAGCGGCCGACGACAGGGGAGGACTTGCAGGAGTGCCGAGGCAGGTAGCCGTGAATTTGAGTCATCACCGGGCTGAGTGGCTCTTTGGTTTTTTCCCAACATCCCTCAGCTTCCAGGAAATAAATAAACAAGGAAACATTTGTAAATACCCTGTAGCTCCATCCCTTTTCATGGTCCCTTCCTTAGACTCTTCAGTTCCTTGGCAGACAGAAAGCGTGGCAGACAAGCGTGGTGGTTAGGGTGAGCAGGATGACAAGCATGGGGTGTATCAGGTGCGTGGGGAAGAGGGAAAGGAGAGTGCTGGTGCCCAGGGAACCCGATGCTACAGAGCCATGAGGCGATGGTGTGCACACGGGCACCGATGGCACGTGTGCAGAAACGTGAGACATGCATGTGGCAGGTGTGCTGGAGGGGGGAAGGTCGGCTGTAGGCTCAGAGGGTTTTGATGGGTCCCCTGTGCTCTCTCTTGGCCTCTGGCACCCTGTTAAGAATGTCTAACCTTCACTCTCCCCACTGCCTTTGCCCCCCTCAGCAAGCCTGGATGATGCCTTGGATCCTTCTCCTGCTCTGTCATGTGTCCTGGCTCCCCAACTTCTGTTCTTGCATCACCCTTTGCATTGTAACCAGTTCTTGAGTTACAGATCTTTCATATCGGGTGCATTTTTTTTCTTTGTGCAGAGCCCTGGAAAACCAAGGATTTGAAATCATCGAGAGAGGTGAAATTGAAGTGAAAGGGAAAGGGAAAATGACCACATACTTTCTGATCCAGAACTTGAATGCCACCAAGGACGAGATCATGGGGAGACCGACAACTCCACTTGATCACAAAGGTAAGCAGAAAAGAGAAGTCTTGTCATTAATGTCGAATGCTTTTTCTTCTAACAACCTGAGATATAGCGAGTGTGGTCCTTAGGTCCTCAGGGCTAGCATGGGTACATCCCTGCCCACCACCAGGCTCCAAGGATCAGTTCAACCGTTTTGCCCTGAACACACATCTCTTGCATCCGGGGTATTCTCACATTTCTTGACCTGGGCTGATGGATCCAACCTAAAGGGTTTTTGGGGTTCTTCTCTTTCCCAGAAGGGAGTTTTCCATCAAGCTGTCCTGTAGCTGGGGAATGATTTCAGAGCACTCCCTCTGCCCCTCGGCCTCAGAGGAGGCTCCAGAACAGGCCTTCCTCACACACTGGGACCGTCTGCCTTCCTCATTTTCCTCTAGCTTCCAAAACTGGGAAGAAGAACAAAATTTGTGACTCATTGAGTTCCAGGAATGACAAGAGGGTGGGAGTTTAGGGTAAAACAACCCAGTACTAAATGGGACAAGGGATCACTGTTTGGCTCATGTCTCCCCAAAAAAGAAGCTGGAACCCAACAACAAGGTCTCCATCAGCTGCAAGGCCAACCTGTCCCACTCACAGAGAGCCCCTTAGCCCAGCCTGGCTAAGAGGGAAGTGCTGAGCTGAAAGGGAACCCGGCAGCAGGAGGCAGGCCTTTCTGAACCTCTGAAGTGACCTGGAGAGAAGCTGATCTTCCGCCGCTGCAGAAATCCACCAGGAGAATCTCCAAAGCCAGAGGTTCCTCATGTGCACGTCTAATGTCTGCAGGCTATCGCTTTGGGACACATGGGTTACTATTTTGAAAAGTGGGACTAACCCAACAAAGAGACAGATATTTGAAGAACTTTTACAATTGTTTTCATAATGCTTTCATTCTAGTATTGGCTCACCTAATTATCCCTGTGAGCTGTCACAGCTCTTTCACATGTCACGGATATGGTTTTGGCCACATTTTACTGATGACACTTATCTGAAAAGATCTAAATAAAAAACGAGAAATGACTTTGGCTAATAAAGACCAGGAGCCCTCATGAGTGTTTTGGCCCCCAAATTTCTAGGCTCTGGACACCTCACCCACCGACATCTCGAAAGCAGGTGCATTTGCTCATTCTTCTAGGAGATGAGAACGTGAAACGTATTAAATGTCTTTCAGCCTCCCTAGCGTGACACTGAACAGCCAGAACTTCCATCCAGTCCTCCACATGACGGGCACCTGAAGGAAACATGCAAGGCGCTGCCGATGTTCCGAGGCATCAGAGACAGTCCCCCAGCCCTGTGGCGCCTGCCGGTGCGTCCGTTCCCACAGTTCCTTCCTGTCACACTCTTTTGCAGAAGCACGTGACCTGGGAAAGGAAGACAGGAAAGCCGTTGTCATCATGAGGTACGCCGACAGTTGGCAGCTGCTCCCTGACAGGAACGTGGCGGATGGTGAGTACACAGAGGTGCCTCGTGGGGGTGGGAAAGAGCCAGAAAGGGACAGTTCAGGTGGGGTTTGGGGTCCTGGGGCAGGACGCCTCTGACTTACTGCCAGCTGTATTTTCAATAGCTTTGGTTTTGAGCTCTCTGCACCCCAGCCACCCTGGGGTCCCTCATTCTCCACTTTGGCCCCATCCAAAATAAGCTCTAATACTCAAAAGAATTTATTAATCTCCACACACCCACAAAACCAAATTTCCCTGGACACTGTGGCCCTCAGTAGTGTGCTCCTCTTATGAAGGGGTGCTCAAGACCTCATCATCTGGTGCTTCAGAGACCCCAGGGCATTGACACTGCCACAAAGCCAGTTCCCCTCTTCCCACTTTGCCCTGGGATGGTGGGATGGGAGGATTTTCTTAACCGTATACTTACCCTCCACTGCCTTGGGGAGTCATTCGGCTCCCTCGAGATCTATTGTCGGGACTGACACAGCTGGGTTTGGAGTGTGGGGTCACAAAGGGGAGATGAAGAGCCAGGGATGGGCCACCACAGCCACCTGTCGCCTTCTGGACCCCACACCAGGCACTCCATGTGGAGCCGGGCCAGGCAAGGCAGCAGTGCATGTTTGTAGAAGGGATCAGGCCCGTGCATTTTGCAAAACCCATCCCTGGTCATTGAGACAATTTCTTAAAACAAATGAGATAATCCATGTGATGAGTTAGAACAGCTTAATAATCCACATAAAGAGTTCAGCTATTGTTGTAGTTATTAGATAATGTCTCTAAGTTGATGTTGCTTGAGCCGTTGGCATTCGGCACTGTCCCAGTGCCTGAAGACTTCCCTCTAGCTTGGTCCTAGAATCCAAAGTCCAGGGAAGACCAGCAGCCTTCTGTTCATATCAGGTGAGAGGAGACAGAGCAAAACTCCCCTCACTCTGATCCTGGGGTCGGATGGAGGTTGGGATCCCGGGACAGGAGAAGCTCAAAGCAAAGTTTCTGCCATTACCTAGAGGCATTTCTCTCCCCTCCCTACTCCCCTCCTCCCTGGATTTGCATGTTTCTGGCAGTGTCCAAACCCTGAATAATCATCCGACCTATCACAGGATAGAATTATAACAGTCAAAGATCCATTCAACAATATTCCTGGAAAAACTGTTCCTGCTCCAGGGATACAGTGTCCAGGCCAGATACTGTCCTGGAATCCAAGATGCTCGATGGACCAAACGCAGGGGGTGCCTGCCTTCCAACAGCTTGCACGGCGTAGATGGAGACCATTAACATGCAACCAACTAAATAAGACCATCCGGGTAGTGATGAGTGTTAAGAAGAAAATAAAACTGAGTAGTGGGGAAGAGGGCGGACGAAGCCTTTTGAGGGATTCAGTATTCCAGCTGAGACTTAGATGAAGGGAAAGAGCCCCCAAGGGACCACCTGTGTAGGAGCTTCTGGGCAGCGCATGCCTGAGGCAGACACAAGCTTAGCATATTCAAAGGAGATGAGAAGGCCAGTGTGTCTTGAGAGGGTGGGAGATGGACGGGACCTTGGGCAGTCCTGGCCTTGCGCCTACTTATCTTACACAGAAAGCATGAGCGTGAAAGAAAGGTTAGGTGAGGAGGAGTTGGGGCTCCTGGGGCACCTTCAGGGGGAGGAGGGCACCTGCCATTTGAATTCCTAAATGGCTGCTCCATAAACAGCTCTAAAGGGAAGGTCTAAAAACACCTTATGCTCTGGAAGATGCACAAATTCATTTTTCAAACTTCTGCTGCATGAAGGGTCCCTCCACAGGGACCAGCAGGGCTGCGCAGGGCTGGGCATCTTGCGTAGAGGGTGGGAGACAGAAATTTCTCAGCTGGGCCCCAATTCAGCATTCGGGCCCCAATTCGCCTCTCCTAAATTGTTGCTTTCCTGGACAGAAACCGACATCAACAACTAGAGGAAGAGAAACTGAGGACACCTCAGTTTTAGGGGGACACTGGAGGGGTGCAGACCTGGCATTTGCTGGGCTACTACTTTGTGTCAAGCATTTACCCGCATTATCTTATCTGATGCAACAGTCACGTTGCCACTCCCCCAAAAAAGGAAAAAAACTGAAGAAGAAAAAGGTAAGCCAATTAAAAAAAGGCCCAAAACCAACAAAGGGGAAAAATAGGATTTGATCTTCATTTGAGGCTCATTTTTCTTGGGCAGACCATGTCCCTATGAGTCTGCTTTGAGTATCAAACCCAGGTGGTTCCATAGTTTCCCCAAGTGGTAGCTGCCTTAGTTGGATCTGCTGGGTTCACAGTGGTTCAGCCATGTGTCTCTCAGATCCTCTGGGCCCCATCAGAACAGATTTCTGACCGGTCAGTGTGATCGGCAGGTGTATGGATGAGGAACAGCTCGCACACTGTGGGTGCAGGGCAAACTGGTGTGCACCAGCGGTCTGGGTCATTGGCCACAGAGCTCCCAAACCCAGACCCACTGAGCCACAAATTGCCTTTTCATAACTCCCCAAGGAATTTGAGCTTGAGTTTACCACCAATGCAGCCTTCATCCTTATCTTGGATGGTTGGCAGCAGACATGGGATTTAGCCTTGTGTGATTCTTGTCACCTGCTCACAGGACATGCCTTTTCATCATGGTTCAGGTCCCAGTTCTCACAGGGTTTCAGGCCCAGCTAGGCCTGTACCTCTGAGGCAGGTGAAGGCTGCCAGAGGGTCACTGCGGGAGCCCCCACCCTCAGCACCACCCCGGGGCCATTCCACCTGGCCCCTGTGTGGGCGTCATTGTGGGAAAGGATTTGTAGCAGTGGCCAAAGCCTGTTAGGACTCTGCAGAGATCATTGATCATATCTGCCACCAACCTCGCCAGGTTGTCACCTGGTTGCCAAACACGATGGCTCTCCAGCTGCATGCCTTTCCATCTGCCTTGGCTCCCGGGTGTGGGAAGCAGACATTCCTGCCTCCCCATCCCCTGTGAGCCCCGTGGACCCTGACACAGTATCTGGGAGCCTTGGCAGCACATGAAGCTGCAGCGGCGAGGAGGAGACCGCATAGACCCCTCTCTGGGGCCAGCTGAGGCCCATGCTCAGCCCTTCCCTCAGCCCTCTCTAAAAATGGGGCCTCATGGAGTCCCTGCAGGGCCGGGCCACCTTCTGCCAGGGCAAGAGGGAGCTCTCAGTGGGCCCCAGGCCTGCAGGCTGCACAGAACCTCATTTGCACTTCAATAACGCGCTTTTCTTTCACTCAACTATGTATTTGGGTGTTAGATGTGTCTGTGGGGAGACTCTCCAGTGCAATTAAACGGGAGTATTGAGCCGGAGAGAAATCAGTGTGTGTTGACGCAGATATTTAAGCAACCACCTTTCAGTATTGACTCAAAAATTGGCCTTCCAGCTGTCCCTGCTGGCAGGCTCTTCTGGCATCTCGTCAGGCCCCTGTTAATGTGTTTTTCAAATTCCAACTTGCTTCGACTTGTCTCCTAACTGACTCTCCCGACGATTAGAATAATGGTTTCCAGGCTGACCTGCACGCCGCACTTAGGCAAACGGCCCAGGGCCCTCTCTGGAGGTGACCCCTCCTCACAGATCATAGCCAGAGGCTGTCCACTTGCTGGGTTTGTGGCAGGTTCAGTCAGCTTGGGGGACTTCTTAACCAACTCCTAATTGTTCCTCCGGAGAACTCGAGTGGTGAGGGTCTCGCTCCTGGTGGAGTTTAGGGTTTGGTGGTCTGCCTGCCGAGGGGAGAGGTTGCTAATTCCCGCCAAACTTGACTCACTCTTCAAGTAGGAAGAACTTTCCCTCCACTTGCAATTCCCCCGATGGGTTATTCTTGGATGGATTTGTGGTCACTGAATCGCCGGGGTCCTCGCCCGTTGCTTTACAGAGTCCTGAGGACACAGGCACCTTTCCCAGACGTGTCCAATTAGCTGGGGTCCAGCTGGTTTGGAGCCAGGCTGGGTCCCTGTTCTCAGCTCCAAGGCCTTCGGCAGCCTCTCCGGGGCCTTCCTAAGCGTGGCTGTCAGACTCTCCTGACCTCTCCCATTTGGGGCTGATGAATGGCAAAGCTGTTTTTAACCTCGGGCTTTCTAGAAGTTGAGCTGTTAAGCCAGCAGTGTTCTGTAGAAGGAGGATCCTGGGAGGTGTACATGAACTCTTCCCAAATCAGGAGGTTACTGCTGAGAAACAAGATTTTCAGTGTAGGGCTAGCGTCTAAAGTGTCATACTGTCTTCCCTGATATCACAGACCAGCTGTCACATCAGAGCTGGCTGGCGCGGGTGGGAGGACAGCTGAATCATTGTGGAACAGCCTGGTGACAGTGTGGACGGCTGGGCTGCACCTGAGAAGGATTCCACAGTCCTTGGGGCCGACACTCCGGTTCGTAAAGCAGCTTCATGGCGGATTCTGATGACCAAGGGGTTTGGGGGTCGCCGTCGTGATGGAACGAGCATTAGATTGAAAGCAGAATTCCTGGGGCTGAGCCCAGTCCTGGCACTCGGTGACCAGTGTGTCACTTCGGGCAAGTCCTCTTTGCTTGTTTTCCTCATCCTGAAGGCAGGGGTGAAACAGGGCCTGCTTCACAGGGCTGCTGTGAGGGCTGTGAGATAGCACGTAGTGTCTGAAAAGTGCGGTGCTGAAGACGTGTCAGGCGTGCGACGGGTCACTTGGGAGTTCACTCACTTAACACATCGTGAGTGTGAAGCACAACCGTAAGAGCTACTACAGAGGCTTTAAAGAAAGAATGGTCTGCTGCAGGCAAGGAGCTTTAGCTGGGACAGAGGGACCCACACGGGAGTCAGGACCCCAGCCTCGCTCAGGGCGCTCCAGAGCCACAGTGTGCGCAAGTGATGCCTGAACACGCCCCGGCACCCAGGAAACCTTAGAGGACGCGCAGGTGACGGCAGAAGTGGGAACAGGCAGGGATCTGCTCTGGCCTCTGGAAAGTGTGGGGACTTCTGGAAGCTGGGGACTTATTTTCTCCAGGGCAAGGCCTCTTTTGCCCAGGGACAGAAAGAGGAGGCTACTGGGCTGGGTGATCCTAGCATAGCAGCTGTTCCCTCATCCTGGAAAGTCCACTGTGCCCTCCGTGTCACTAGGATGGGTGTCCACTCTCACTCATGGTTTCATTTCTGGAGTTTGTGGCTCCTTTCTGTGTTCATACCTCCCCTCCTCCTCCCCCAGGACAGAGGAATACCAGGAAATGGTATTGATCATGACTGGGGTGGAAGCAAGCAGAAGGAGGTAGAGTGCGTGGAGACCACACAGAGCGAAGGCCAGGACGGGGCAGGGAGAGAGGTCTGGGGGATGCAGCAACAGGCCCTGTGCTGCCACGGACCAGGATGGGGTGACACCGTGGGTGGGGTGATGCCATGGTGGTGCAGGGCCTTGAGGACAACTGAGAAGGCCCACCTGAGAGTCTGAATTCAGGCTGAGGCCAAACCCTTCACCTCAGTTGTGGAGAATCAGCTCTGAAACCAGCATGTGGTCTTCCGTGCCTCATTCTGTCTAGGTTAGAAACAGATGCAGAAATGCAAAAAAAAAAAAAAAAAAAAGGATTATTTTAATGGCAAATGTAAGAATCCCTTCTCATAACCCCATATCATATCCTGCATGACTTCCAGAGCCCTGCCTGTAATCACCAGGCAACGGTCCAAATCCCACCTCTACTCCCCGGGGCACCAGCATTTCCTCACACTCCGCGCTGCTGTTACTGCGGAGTCACAGCCCCCGTCCCCCGAGTTTGTATTTGACAATGTAACTCATGTGATGGGTGTTTTCCAAACAGGAAGATTACTTCTGCATCCATTCATTTAATCTGTTCTTAATCTATATTGAGATGAGTTTCTATGCTGATTTTAATATTGGGCTGTGTGCTCTATTTATTTGTTTATTTGTTATTTTTTTATTTATTTATATTATAGAAAAAAATATTTAATTTTTATTTTTTAAAAAAACTAGGAAAATGTGGATAAACCAAAAGAAGAAAACAAAAGCACCTATAATTCCATGACCCAGAAAGACCACTATTAAAATGTGGGTCACATCTTCCCTGACTTGTGTGTGGGAGTATGTATATACTTATGTGCTTTTTCTAACAAAAATGAGATGGCCATGCACATACTGTTTTGTAATTTTCCAGTCATAAATTTCTTTCCCTGATCATTTAAAAATATTTTAAAACAGAGGAGGGAAATTTTAAAAAGATATAATATGCTTTACATGGTACCCTTGTTTCACATGTGACTTGTGCTGTTACATACCAAAAACCACCTTTGCATTGTGTCAAATGGAAAGCCCAGTTACCTTGCACTTCCCACATGTACAACACATCTGTGATGATCCTGATATTTCATGAGTCCTGAAGTTTCCTCTAAATTTTCCAAGAAAGACCAAACATGTTCAATTTCGCTTTGGTGTTTAGATTATCCCAGGTGTCTAGATGTTAGTAATCCAAGGAAGAGGTACCTTGTAATCTTCAATGAATCAGAAAAGGTAATAAACCAGAATGCTACATTCCTAACCATGCACAATAATGAGCATTAACTCTAACAAAACGGTGGTACTAATAGGCAGTCCTCGGGAGTTGTGAGCAATGGTCTTGCAGGAGGGAAAAATGATAGGTGAGAATTCATCTCAAGGAAACAAGAAAATTCTTCCACCATCTGGATTGTAGAATTGGACTGGGGCAAAATGTCAAATTTTCATTTGCGTGTGAAAATTCCAAGAAAGTCTTGCAGTTCTATGCTGAGCAAATCTCATTTGAATTGTCAGGCGGCATCGGCTCAAATTGATGGAGTCACATTTAGCCTGTCCAGCTTTCAATGTGCTGTCTCCATTCATTTTCCCAACATAGTCCTAGCTGGTCGTCTTTTTCTCCCTGTTGATCAGGGGATTTTTCTTTAAGGAGAGAAAAGGAAAATGAGTTTAAGGAAACTAGGAGTAGAAATGGAGGTGA